TATCTAAAATAGAGCATGCATATAGGCACGTAATGTGAGCGAGAGTGGTGCAAACTCGATATAATGGCAGCTACACTGCCAATCGTCAGGAGCTAATAAAACTGAGAAAGACATTGAAAGTTTACCCACCTCCTTCCCAGGACCTCCTCTCATGCGAACTATCAACTATGAACAACTTAATAATTATATATATATATATATATATATATATATATATATATATATATATATATATATATATATATATATATATATATATATATATATATATATATATATACCTACAGTATGTATACATATGTACATTGCCACAGTATTATTATCAAGATTGTACCCAATTACTCTATGGAATAATTTTACGACATAAGGGTTGGCGATAATTTTGCTCCACCCTTTTCTTGGCATGAAAGATTAGTATTTGCAAACATATGAATAAATACATACGAACAACCATCCTCCTAGCCAAATTATCCAAAACATTACTATTTTCAAACATATACGTATTAATATTTGTCGTTTTGTTTACTTAAATATATCGACTAGGAGGATTGTCACTCCTAGTCAAATTATCCGAAAAATTGTGCTATCTTTAATGTTTGTCCAATGCCCAGAAAACAAAGCTTCGGAGAAGGAATGCATGTACATGCGGTGGCTATAGGGGCGATCGGTAATTTACAATACATATACCACATTGCATAAAGAATAATGTAAACTACAACAAAATAGTTTAGCAGGGGGGTTGGAGGGGGCTTCGGGCTCCCCAGTCAAAAAAGGTCCTGGTTTTTGGAGGCCTCCCCTTTGCCTTCGAAATTTTGATCCATCAGTTATTTCGAGTTTCTTATTCGCGTTAAATTGGTATAAATTGTACATAACAAATCATTCCTATACTTCAACATCATTAGCAACAATACAAACTAAAACGAGACAAGGAAAGCAGAATATTAACGAACGAAATAAATGGTAAATAACCACTAAATGCGGTCACTGAATAGAGAGGCTTAACTGTCCCAAAATTTGAATGCGCCATTGCCTTAAATATTACCCTAGCCAACCTGGAACAATGGTAATTTGTGGAACTCAGATGTATACGTGAAAGTACAGATTCCTTTCTCCATAATCATTCTTTAATAACACCTTGGAGAAGCACGAAAACCTGACAAAATCAAGCAAATCAGAACGTGGGCTGTCTTAAAACAGAAGAAGGAACAAGTATATCCCTGTCACGGCCAGAAATCACGGACATGATTATTCTACTTCCTTACTAATTTACATATCATTAATGCATAACCCGTTGAAATATGGCCACAGAATAAAGATCAGTAACAGAAGGGCCACTCAGCGGTGCAACGTGTCCTCGTTTTTTATGCAAAAATATGCAGTTTACTGGCCAGAAGGCGGAGCAGCCAGCCAGTACAGCGTGTTTATTGGCCAGAAAATGTCATTGACTGGCTAGGAAAATGGCGGCCAACATGCGTATTAGGACATGCGCGAGGACAGAAACTTCAAAGCTTCCGACGTAAGTGGCCCTTCTATATATGGATCTTCATTCTATGATATGGCTTCGATAGTAAACAGTAAATTATATTATGCGATGCATGCTTTAAGTCGCCAAATCAGAGAATATTGGTAGTCGCTTGTGTGATGTTACTCTGAGTGTACATCCACACCGGGCAGGCTTGAAAAATATGCCTGGCCACGGTGGGATTCGAACACGGTCTGTTGAAATATATCGTGTAGTGTTTTCCTGGTGTAAGTTACTGCCTATTCTGCATTTTGGTTTGTTTCTACTGTCTATAGTGAGGTATTCTTATATAGAGATAAATAGACAAATTCCGCGCAAACTAACCTCTGTACAAATACTGAAAATACAGAATGGTCACTAACTAAAAGCAAGTCAACATTACGCTAAATACTTCGACAGACTTTGATTTATAGCCAGCGACTTAGGCAAGTTGCAAATAACCTACCATATTCTCTGATTTTGGGATTTACAGCATCGCGTAATATAATTTACTGTTTACCATATTTCAACGTGACATGCAAATTACGAAGGCGGTAGAATAAATCATGTCCGTGATTTCTGGCCATGTTATATATAACGATACTAGATATGAATGATTCGTTATGGCCCCCTGAAGTATTAGCGAGCTTAAGATGCACCAAATATACGACGCGGACGTGACATAAAAATCGTTGCTAATGTTTGGAATCCAGTTTTATTTAGCTTCACTTGTGTCTATGACTTTGTTTACCAATTGGAGGCCATGCTTTTTATCCGTGTAGTGAAACTGTGGGAATGTAGTTATAGTTTTTCTTCACGTCCGCGTCGTAGATTTAGCGCATCTTAAGCTCGCTAATACTGATTGCAGTAAAGCACGGACTCGTCACCCGGTCGAATGATTAACAATTATTCACCGATGTATGCGTAAATAGTGCAAGGAAACTTGTAGTTTTAGCACATACGATAACAAAACAAAATTAACAAAAAACGAAAATAAAGAATTTGTGTTACAACTACCGCAATAGTTGTAAACGAAAGAGTTGTTACAAGCTTATTAATTTTATTCACTAGAAGTAGTTTTAAAGAATACTTCAACACTCTACTGAATACTAAAGAAGACGTTGTGGATTTCTTTGCATTTCCCAGAAATACAAATTCGTCGGTTAAGTAACCGGAAGTATAAACAGAGAGGCCACTGCGTAAAAACACTGTCCACCTCCCAAGTAAAGGCTATTTCTCGATGTCTATTTTTTTCTGGTATTCGTGCACGGCGATCAGTTTTTGTATTCAACATTTCTCTCCAATTCCCTTGCTTTAATTAATCTTCATTATTTTCTCGTTGACCCCTCTCCTTTCATATTTTGTTGCGAAAAACTAGCTTTGGGAGGTTCAATATATTTAAAGTTTGTTCGTTAACTGCAACCATGCAGGTATATCAATCATGTTTTCGCTCACTGCTTTGGCTCAAATAAATGAATACAAAGCCCAGTCGAATTGTCATCAAGACCCAACGTTTCGACACTTCAGGGGTGATTAGATGTCGAAACGTTGGGTCTTGATTACAATTCGACTGGGCTTTGTATTCGAATTCATTTATTTAAACCAGTGTAGTGAGCGAAAACAAGGTGCAATACAATAGTTTTGTTTGTGGAAATACCACGTAAATTTATTTAAAGTGCTACTGTGACCAAATTTTCCTTTCTGTTTTTTTTCCATGATTGTGAAGAATGCGTATAAAGAAGCTGTCACGCAAAATCTTAGCATGATATCTCATATTTGGTCTGAGTTATACGACGATGAAGTTCAAATTTTGGCGGCCACCATTAAAATCCGCCATATTGGAAAGTTCAAGTGTTCGGGAGTCTTTGACGTCATAGTCTCAACACATGCTTGGCGTGCAACATAAAAATATATACGCGACTATAGTAAAACTCGATCATGCCTTCATCGCGTTGTGTTGTACAAGATTGCAGCAATACTTCTGACAAAAACGCGGGTAGATCATTGCATAAGAGCCCAAATGACGAATCTTTGAGAAGAATATCGGTTAGATTTGTGCAAACTAAGCACGCCAAATTTTATCCAAGCTCGCGGGAAATTCAAATTCACGGCATGATTTGTTATTTTGTTCGGACCATTTTTCAACGGATTGTTTTGAGCGTTTATTTCATTTGGATGGTTTGCAACGACGACTAAAACCAGGTTCTGTGCCTACTATTTGGAGGAAAGCGCCTGCGCAACTAACAACAAGAGACAGGCGTTTTAGTCAAATATGAATATATTTTAGCTACTTACATATTTACATAATCTGGTAAGTCCAGATGAATTATAAATTCACGCGACAAGTGTCGTTCTCATATTATTGAAAATAGGTTTAAATTTTAAACGAGTTGGGCAAAACTGCAAACAAGACTGATACAAACAAGGATGAACCATCGAGCTGTTTTTTCAAAACTCCGACTCTCCGAGTAAGCTCGCTGATCAGTGTTCGGGAATGTTGATCATATTTTATTGTAACAACACGATAATGTGAGATGCCTTGAACTGCCCGTAAAATCTCATACCAAACCACGAGCTGTCTGTATAGGAAACTGCGCGTAAGAACCTATAAAATATATAATATTAAATAAATGTTCGCGCACAATATGTTAATGCTTGTTTAATAATAACATCAGCATACTTCAGGGTTAATTAACTGCAATGACCACATTCACACCTTTTAAATAATGCAAAATAGAAGTTCAGAGATGCGTTTTAATTTATTACTCCGGCAAATAAGAATACAAACTTACCAAGACGATACATCAACATGGTCTTCAAAACGATTTTGGAACATATTTTCGGCCGTTCGTCCTCTGCTACAGCTTCCTCGATCTCGTACTCGGCTACCTCTTCAGGCGAGGCAAGCGGCTCCAGCAATAGTATCATCAAATGGCAAAAATTCGTTTTCAAGTTCGCTTGAATTCGCTGTACATGTTATATAAACAGCTGAGATGCGAGAGAATCTGTTTCACACAAATACTCCGAAACGCTACTAGATCGCGACGAAACTGACATTTTAGTTCTTGAAATGTATGCGATGCTCTACGTTTGCTTACTAATTCTACTTGTGCCCTTGTGGTATGTTGAGACTATGACGTCAGAAGCCTCTCGTGACAACATAAAATCAAGATGGCGGATTTTAATGGCGGACAGCGATTTTGGACATTTCAAATGCTCGTAACTCCGTCGTCGTTAATCATGTTCGCCTGAAATTGTGCACAAGCATTTTTGATGCAATAATAAAGTCGTTGCTAGCAAAAAAGATAAGTTTCTCGATGATGAATTTTCGTCACAGTAGCACTTTAAATTAAATTAAATTTAAATTTATTAATTAAAATAAATTAATTAAATTTATTTAAATTTAAGGTTCAATATATTTTGGTGGTAATTGGCATAAAGTTATAATACATTTGTAATACGTGTAGGGCCTTGCAAATCAGGTGAATCAGCATTTGGAATGCAGAATGGAAGGATTGAGGACTCCCAGATAACGGCGGCTTCAACTGTCCCAGATGCAAGTCTATCAACAACACAAGGACGGTTGAATGGCCGGTCATCCTGGTCTGCAGATAGAAATGACCAGAACCAATGGATTCAAGTTGATATTGGCAGAGAAGGAGTTGTCACAGCGATTGGCACGCAAGGTCGGCGTAATTATCCCCAATGGGTGAAGACTTATTCATTGTTTTATGGTTCCAATGGAAGTGCGTTCGAGCCTCACAAAATTGATGATGTTCTTAAGGTTAGAAATAATAATTGTGGTTTTTGAACGTTGGCAAGGAAGGCTAAGGAAAGCCAAGGAAAACTACACGCAAGGAGAAAATGTTCTTGAATGAAATATTTCATATTTTCCAGATCGCGCAAGCAGAAAATTGTCCCCCCCCCAGTCGGATTTCGAATCCACGACTTTCGAGTTACTACACGATACTCTACCAGGTCGCATCGAAAACTGGAAACAATGAACTCTACACTTAATGTCGTAATCATACTCGTTTGTCCTTCCCCTGCTGATAATTTCAGCAAATATAGAAAAAATATTATTCCGAAAAAGGAGTGCATAAAATTAACACACAATTTATAAAAAAACTGTATAGTACTATTATGCACTCCTTATTCGTAATAACTTTTGTTCTATACTCGTTTATATTAATCAATATAAACGAGTATGCTTATGATTTTCAGTATATAATCTGATTTGGCTTAATTTTCGAAAGCCCTGGACCCGGCCGACTTCATTAATTAAAGTAAGAAACGAAGTTCTGGTCTGGTCTGGTCTGGTCTGGTCTGGTCGGTCTAGCAATCTCAATTAAAGCGCTGTTAGGCCTTATAAAGTTTATCTAGTGTTTTACGTAATCATATTTTGTTTAGCAAATCATGATTTGATGACTTAGTTACTAACAAACTGGAAGACTTTAAAATTTTGCGCAAGTTACTACCTTTTGTGTACTATTTCATGAACAGGTATTCAGTGGAAATAATGACCAGCAGTCGATCGTTACAAATTCCTTTTCTTCTGCAATAACTGCCCGTTATATTCGTATTCAACCAATCGATTGGCATGGTCATATATCCATGAGATTTGAAGTGTATGGCTGTTCTACAGGTAAAAGATTCAACACTATGTATTGTTATATTTATAGCTAGTGCTTATTATAATGTGATTTGCTAATTTTTTTTGCCACTTTCATGGCTTTAGACTAGGGTACCTGCAAGGTAGGGATTGCTGCGGGCATTAAAAGCAGATAGAACTACAGTAAATTTACAGCAAAAATTATATCAAGCACAGTGATTACTCGCAGCGACTAGTGGGCTGTGAATGGAACTGAGAAGAAGCAATATATATTGAAGCACAGCTAATAGACTGTGATTGAAGTAGCAAAGACTAGGGGTTAACGGGCAATCAGAGGTGACAGATATTAAACATGTGCGTCTCATTGACATACAGGTAAATTAAGATCAGATTTCATATCAAGTCTTCTACTGCTAGGCGCATTTACCACATTATATAAACTATATAGACAGATTTATCACACTAAGAAACGAAAACTTTATAAAAATATAGAACTGACATTGGCCAAAGTACAAAACAAATGTAAGCGTAACATTAGACTTGAAAAAGCTTTAGAAATTCGATAAAAATTCGAAGACTCAAGCGAGTTTAAAATTTGTGTTCTGCGCATAGAAAGCGCGCACGACCACAATTCCATGCGCTAAATAAAATTAAGTTCAACACCCCCTCTCTGCACATATTAGGCTGCTGCTACGCTCGCTCGCTTCAGGCTCGCTCGCTCCGCAGCAATAAACGCTGTATAAAGACAAATGAATGCATCTTGTCGGGCCGAATAAGTGAAAAATTGTTGCGCGTTGCGACCGGCTACGTAAATAAATGTATAAAATGAAATGTCGAAGGTTTATAAAAGTAACGTTTCTCCACTTTAAGAAAGAAAAACGGTGTTCACGCCTATGGGCCTCGTCGCAATGTTCGGTGACGACCAACCCACGCGCCTTCAATACTTGTATTTGGGGACTGTATTTACCAACGGTTTTATTTTCACGCTAAAAAGACAAATATTCATAAACTTACAAAGCGAAATAATAACAGAAACACTAAAACATATATATTAACCTTACACAATACATAAATGATCGAATAAGCTGAGACTGTCTAAATTAAAATATTACGACTGTCGCATGCACTGAAATAAATCAGTCAAATTATGCTCATTTTTGCCGTTCAAAAACAGTCAAATCTTCTTGGATCAAGCCAACCAACAAAGCAATACAAAAACGACAATAATGATAAGTTTTCTCAATCAAAAAGCGTCCAAAACAGCGTGCAAAACGACCAAATTCTTTCAGAACAACTCAGTTCTCTCAAAACGTCGCGACAACGTTTGTTCTTGAGTCCGCAGCATAATGAACACGTACTTCATATAAAGTTTCTCAACGCCCGTCCAAACGAATAGAAAGATATATAATGAAACTTTCGTTGGTAGGTCGAAAATAGAGAATTTGTATTATAACTACCCAATAGCACACAGTTAAAAACAAAAGTGTTATTAGAAGCTTATTAATTTTATTCAGAAATAGTTTCAAAGAATATTTCAACACACTACAGCATGCTAGACGAAATTTTGTGACGTTCTTTGCGTTTTGCAGAAATTCAAATTCGTCGGTTAAGTTACCGAAGAGACCAATACGTGAAAAACACTGTCCACCTCCCAAGTATATGCTAAATCACGATGTATACTGTTTTCTGGCACTCGAGCCCGATTCTCTTTTTATATTCAATATTTTCACCAATTCTCGTACTTTAATAGACAATTCCCATTATAAACTAATTTTTATCTTGGCAAAAAAGTATATTCCCAGAAAGAGCATACTAAAAGTAAAATTGCAAAGTTTGGTTGCGAAATGTTGCAAGTTTTGTATATTTTGTATTGCGTGCGAAATTTGCTACCACATTTGCAGGGCCGAAAATGGTAGCAATCCCCGCACGCAATACAAAAGTATACAATATTTACAAATTTTGCAAGCTTATATTTTCCATATTTTACAACATTTCGCAACTAGACTTTGCAATATTACTCAATTTTAGTATGCTCTTTCTAGCTGTGGTGACTTATTCGCGCATCTCCTTGCCTAGTCAGTCAAAAATTAGTCTATAATAGTAATTGTCTATTATTATTTTATCATTGACCACTCTCCTTTCATACTTTCTTGCGAAAAACTAGCTTTGGGAGGTACAATATACTTTGGTGGTAATTGGCATGAAGTTATAATACATTTGTAACACGTGTAGGACCGTGCACGCTCGGTGAAGCGGCATTTGGAATGCAGAATGGAATGATTCAAGACTCCCAGATAACGGCTTCAAGTATTCACCATCCAACTTTATCAACAAAAAAAGGACGGTTGAATGGCGCGACGTCTTGGTCAGCCAAATGGAGTAATGTGAACGAATGGATTCAAGTTGATCTTGGCAGAGAAGGGGTTGTCACAGCGATTGCCACACAAGGTCGGGGAGATAACTATGGGCAATGGGTGATAACTTATTCGGTGTCTTATGGTTCCAATGGAAATGCTCCTGAGCCTTACGAAATTAATGGTGTTGTTGAGGTTAGAAATAATAATTGTAGTTTTTGAACGTTGTACGTGCAAGGAGAAAATGTTCTGGAGTGAAATGTTTCATAATTTCCTGACCGCGCAAGCAGAAAATAGAGAGCTTAAGCTTCGCGTTATACGTTATACGGCAAACGGCAAACGCCCGGGGAAGAAAAATTTTACGGCATCAGGCATTAAGGAGTAAATAAACTTGCAGTTTTAAAACTGCAATTCATGATTATACTTTCGACACAAGAAAGTAAATATGAAACGAAAACGTTCAACGAAACTTTTGCCAAGAAAGTTCGAACCTGGCGTTTGCCGTTCTCGGAAACGTGAAGCTTAAACTCCCTAATACTTTCCAACCCTGGCCGCATTTCGAATCCGTGACCTTCGAATTCATAATTACTGGATGGTGCTCAACCAATGGACCATTCCCCAATTAACTAAAAGTTTGATCTCAACAAGTCTAGACAAAATTCCATCAGAGCATGAAAGAGCATCACAAAATTAGTAATATTCCAAAGTTTCGTTGCAAAATGTTGTAAAATGCGGATAATATAGCCTTGCGAAATTTGCAATTTTCAGTCATTTTAGATTACAAACGGGAAACGGTTACCACTTTTCCAAAATTTTGATCTTAACTAGACTAAACAAAAATTAATTCATCACAGCTTGAAAGAGCATCACAAATTTAGTAATATTCCAAAGTTTCGTTGCGAAATGTTGTAAAATGCAGATAATATAGCCTTGCGAAGTTTTTAATTTTCAGTCATTTTGTATTACGCACAGAAGTGGAAATAATGAATATTATAATATTAATGAATATAAACGAGAAAGTTTATGACATTCAAAATAATCTCATTTGGCCTAATTTCCGGAAACCGTGTACCGGACTTTTTCATACATGCAGGCAACGAAATTCTGGCCTGGCCGTTGATCATTACTAAGTTTAGCAGAGTGTTTTAAGAAAATATACTTTAAAGGTTATGTAATTTTGCTTGGCAAATTAGGATTCAATGAATAACTAGCAAAGTAGAATGACTTTCATATTTTGCGCAATTTAAGTTACTACTTTTTATCAATTCTTTCATAAACAGGTATTCAGTGGAAATAACGACCAGCAGTCTATCGTTACAAATTCTTTTTCTCCTGCAATAACTGCCCGTAATATTCGCATACACCCAAGATCTTGGCATAGCCATGTGTCCATGAGACTTGAAGTTTATGGCTGTTATACAGGTAAAAGGTTCAACATTATGTTTGTCGTAATTATAGCTAGTGCTTACTACAATGTGATTAGTCTATTTTTTGTCACTTGCATGGGCTTAGATAAACGCTATATATATAAAGACAAATGAATGAATCTTGCAGTGGGGAATAAGTGAAAATATCATTGTTGCCCGCTCCGACGGCTATACGTAAAAAAAATACAAAATCGAGTCGAAAGTTTAGAAGTAACGTTTCTCCAGTTTAAGAAGAAAAATAAACGAAAAGAAAAATGTAGGTATAGCAAAACTTTCGTTGTGGGGAAGCAACTCGCTGAAAATAGGAGGAGAAATTCGACGTTTCGAGATTAGGCCCTTGGTCGGGAAGTCAGTACACTTGACGCGCGGTTGACAAAACATAGAATTGTGACGTAAATGATAAAATATTATAGTCAGTGAGAATTGCAACACAATTAATATCAATGGTTAGATTTCTTTGTGACTCGTGTTCCATTTTCAACATGAAACTACACATTAAATTTGATCTACTTTAACGACGTATTTTTTTCCTAACACTGAAACTATATGTATTGCCGCTATAGTCACCTATAAGGTTACGGGATATTGAATAATGATCAGAACAAAAGATTTAATATTGCACATTGCATTAATTGACCATTTGCGTAATAGACTAAATTTTGATCTAAACAAGTCTAGACAACAATTTCATCACACCTTGAAAGAGCATCACAAAATTAGTAACATTCCAAAGTTTCGTTGCGAAATAGGGCGCGGAAATGGCAATACATCGAGCGTCCCCATCCGTGATGCGGGCTTCGCGGGGGGTAAGACGTTCTATAATTGTAAACAAATATGGCGACGCGTATATGACCCATCAGAAGGTATATGCTGAAACTATTGCTTTATAAAATATTACTTGTGTAAAATTTATATGTTTTTGTTACTTTTAGCTATTATAAGAAACTTAAAGATAAGATTTAAGTAACGGAAAATTTTATTTCGGCTGTTATTTTTTTCTATACTCTGTTTAATTTGGTGTTTAAAAATGGCCGTCGAAATGTTGTAAGAGAGTGTTAGCGCGCACTGCTTCCTGATAAAAAACCGATGATTTCCAAAACCTAAATTATAATTTGTTATTAAGTTATGATGAAAACCTTTGCGTAGACACAATTATAGAGGGAGAAAACATGAGACTGATAGGTTTTGAACCTTTCAAAGTTCGGTGTCGAATTGACAGTTGAAATAGTACCAAACTCCAAGCTGAAATGTGCAACTTTATCGTGTATATACCTGGTGTCCCCCAAAAAAGTACTCCGGTTTGATTCCTAATAACTTCTAAACAAGTAAAGCTTTTAATGAGAAATAACTTGCATCAAATAGAGGAATGACTAACTTAGATTTTGATATATTACAGTTGTATTTCACTAAAAAGTTCACAGAGATATTAATGTTTAAAATCGGGAGCATATTTCTGGATGTGTCTGAAATATGCAAAAAACGGCGTATCAAATATTAATCAAGATTTGCCCGACTGAAACATGCACTATTACCAGTAAATAAATGACACTTGACAAATCGTTTATTATGAAACAAAGTATTATTATCTACAAAATAAAAGCAAGATTTATTCGTCCGAAATCCGCATGTGTTCCCAGCACGAATACGTTTCCTTATTTCATGAGACCATGCACTGCATCGCGAAGGATCGTCATGGATCGTTCGTAGTTCTGAATTAGGGCATGCTGTCACAATGGAATTGTGAATTTTCTAACTTCACATTGAATGAATTTTCTAACTTCTGCAACGTTCTGAAATCGTGTTAAGAACACCCAAACTCTTTTGCCTTTCTTAATCTTGGCAAGTTCAGAATAAACTGAGAATGAAACACGATCAAACTATACAACTCCATAATTAAAGACATAACAAGCAACTCCCCAGAGACATCCAACATTTTTGGAACAAAACGTAAAAAAATAGTAGCGTTGATACTGTGATGTGTATTTGCAAAAAGCAATATTATTTCCTTCATTTAATAATAATATTCATCCTGCTCTAACCGGGAAATAATCAACTTTGTTTTGAACCCATGTAAAGCATAAAAAAATTAGGCTATTTAAGAAAAATTTAAGCCCCTGCCTTCAAGGTCTTTCATGTACCTTTAAGTTTGCAAAGCCAAAGACCTATTAAATACTTTCATAATTTTGAACGTTCATATTTCAGGAAACAATGAGCTAAGACTTACATGTAAGATGTCTAAATCTACGCCATATCCCTTACAAACCCTAACGACAATTCGCTGAAATACCAGTTAGCCTGATATGTCATTAAGCAAACAAACGCTGGGGTTAATATTTGATATGCCGATTTTCGCTAATTTTAGACACATACCAAAATATGCTCCCGATTTTGAACATTAATATCTCCGTGAATTTTTAAGTAAAACACAACTGTAATATATCAAAATCTAAGTTAGCCCTTCCTCTATTTAATGCAAGTAATTAGTCATAGCTTTAATTGTTTAGAAGTTATTATAAATCAAACCGGAGTACTTTTTTTGGGGACACCCGGTATTTTTGTTAATTTTGTTTACTGGCCTTTGTTTATTTAAATTCACTTGCAATGGCTCGACATAAGTTACAACATACAAACTGAGCAGAGCCCATGAAAAAGCTTTCCATACCCCTACAGTCATTCAGCTTCCTTCCTATTTAGAAGTTGTTGCCCATTAGTTGAAGAAGAATTGCTAGTATTGTATGCGCTTGTTTGCACTTCCTTTCCTGAAAAAAGGCTACAATATTAAAGCTAAATAGCACAGACCCAATAATCCATGCAATTAAAAATATTTATCAAATTAACTTCAAAAATCATGATTTGAGGAATTATATCTATCATGCAACCCATAATTTAGTGACAGGTCTTAGGATGGGTGTACTACAAAACTATATTGACTGAAGTTTTGGAAAATTTAGCCAAATTTTGAAGGGTTTTATTAGGTCCCGTTCACATGAGACTGGAACGAACTCAAACCGGGACAATTTCGTTTCAGTCACAATATTATATATAACAGATGTTTACATGAGACCAGGATAAAAATATCTCGGACCAGTCTCAAGTAATTTCGCCTGCTGGACCATGCAAGCCGACTGACTTCAGACTGGCATGAATCAGTTCAGACTGGAATCAATGTAAACACAAATACATTTTAGACCGGTCTCGGATGTAACCTTGACATTGGAGCAAGTGAACAACACATGCTAACAAAAGCCATCTAAAAAAGAAAATTGCCTGGCAAAGGGAATAAATTGAAAATTTTGTGATTTTCACAAAATTTTGTGATTTTCGGTCTCATGTAAACATGTTGACAATTTCAATTTTCATTCCAGTTTGGTTTCATCCTGGTCTCATGTAAACGGGGCCTTGCAAACTGTGATTCAGTATCATTTGATGAGATTAAGGAATTGAAAGATTTTCTAAGTGAGCAATGCTTAAAAGCAAGATATATAAAGAATGAAAGAAATGGCACTAACAGAGCCATAACTTCTCCAGAAAAGTGTAAAATCGCATAATACTGAATCACAGTTTGTGAGTCGATCCTTCAAAATTTAGTTAAATGTTTCCAAAACTTCAGTCGATATAGTTCTGTAGTACACCCATCTTAAGTGTTCCTTTCAGCTTTCACCTTGCCAAGACCTGTCACTAAATTATGGGTTGCCTGAACAGATATCATTCCTCAAATCATGATTTTTGAAGTTAATTTGATAGATACTTTTAATAGCATGGATTATT